AAGAGATAATTGACGTTATCGAGTGTTAGAAAATACCATTAGTATTGCGTATCTCATTCTAACACTTTCGGCAACACTGCTTGGAGCATTCAGTTATCATATAGAGTTCAATGGTACCATCACTATAAAAATGGTGTAGTTTAGTTGAACAGTGCAACTTATCAGTAGTCGAGTCTTGACCGCATAGTAAACCAGTGCTGTCGCTTTTCATTTACCTCTACATAGATATTTAATATATAATTTATTACCAATATTACCTATGTGTTGGTGCCGAATTTAGATGTCGTTAAACCGACTTAAAACTTTATATAAACTTATTAATTATTTATCGCCTAAATAATATTGGTAAATATAGGCGTTGCGCCGTTGCCGAAATCGTGCAACAATTTAAAAAAATCATCAGAAGCGGACTAGGTTGCGAGGTGAAGCGTCTTCACCGGTTCTTAATGTTTGCCATAAATAAAACAGAAATTGAAGGAAATCTCACGATACATTTTCGGCTTCTTTAATCCATCACCTAAGTCTTTACCGTATATTGTGATAGTAGTACAATACCATGGCTAAATATGTATTTAGTCATATTTCTGTGTACAACGGTGATCGATTGGTACCAACTACCATAGTAGTATGCCTTATGATACTGATTTCGTTCAAATTATTGTAAAATAACATAATAATATATACGTAGAACCATTGGCATAATTTTAAAATTCACGAAAAATGACCAGTTAACGAAAAATTATAATATTTAGAATTAAAATAATGAAGAACATTGTTCAGTGTTTATATAGAATTATAGAAGAAGTTATATTAGAAATATAGCGTCATTAATTCAGATAATAAAAAATATTAATATGTCATAAATTATAATATTTGAACTAATTATACACATCATGCTGAATACAAAAATATATAATATGATTTCAATTTTTGATTTTATGATCTTCTCTTATTAGTTATTAAATATTAATTATTATTATTATAATAGTGTTAACATAGTTTTTATTCAGCGATAACCTTAGATCTAATATGTATATATATATCTGTGGGTGATAAGTGCGATGAAGGTAAAATTTTGTCTACATTGTGGTTACAACCATAAACCAATGGTATTTACTATATATTAGGTATTTTGTAGTATTATCAAATCAATTATCATAGGACAAAACGTGAAAACTTAAAACACTGAAAACAGTGAAAACTCATAACTAAAAAACGTCTAAATCTAGAACGACTAGAACTAAAATTTATATTGCTTTTACTAATTACTGTGAGTACTGAGTACTTAAGTACCGACTACTGTGGGTTCACGCTTAACGTGAAAATGGCCACTGCGTATTATAAAACGCCGGTCGTCATGAGATCACGACTATCTTCAGTCTCGTGCTTGAAGTATTTCAGTAGAAAAAAATCATTAAAAGAACTGTATGTATAATTCCAAAATATCTTATTATTTGCTTCCTTCATATCTAAAAGTTGTGTAATGTACATTTTTAATTCAATATAAATAGTTTTTTCAATTTGAATTTTTTGTATCATTGGTATTATGTCCATAAAAATATAGTTTCTTATGAGAATTAAGTTAATGTAACTGCATATTAATTTAATTAATTAAGCAATGATTAAAAATAATGTATATTTTTTAAATAGTATTTAATTTTGATGTTTAATTGTCAATATTATTTTTAATTTATTAATCATACATTATTTCTATTAATTTTTTTGTCAGTTATTTATAAATTGTAACGTTAAGTGTATTTGTAAGTGAATCAAATTTTATTAAATTTAACAAGAACATTAACTCCTAGTACAAAGCAGTGAAATTTATTTGATTGAAATAAACTTTTTAATTATTTAGTGTACATATAATATATATGATACTATGATAATTAAACAAAATTAATCTAATTGATTTTTATAACATAAAACCGTCAACCTGTATAATAAAACAAATTTAAATATGCATATTAAATTAAATGTTTTAATTCTAGGAATACGTCATGTAAATTTTCAACAAAAATTGATAGTATATGTTCTTTTAATCAACCTCCACTCACAGAAACATTACCAAACTTGCCAAATGTTATATATAGCAAACATAAACTTGATAATGTGAAAACAAATATTACACAATTACCTTGTGGGTTAAGAGTTGCATCTGAAGTTGCGTATGGAGAATTTTGTACTGTTGGAGGTAAATTTTTAATACATTTTTATTTAGCTCATGTTATGAACACATATTTATTTCTTATACTATATTTTATTATTTTATTTTTTGTTAGTGGCGATAAATTCTGGTTGTCGATATGAAGTAGCATATCCAAGTGGTGTTAATCATTTCCTTGAAAAATTGGCTTTTAATGTCAGTGATATTTCTTTTATTATTTTATGGATTAATTATTTTCTTGTATATCTATATTTTTAAAACTATTTTTGTTATTAGACAACTTCTAATTTTCCTGGAAATAATCAAATTTTGGATGAAATCGAAAAATATAATGGTTTGTGTGATGCACAATGTTCTCGGTAATTTTTTATTATTATGATATAGTTTTTTAATTTTTATGTTATTTTTATTTATTTTTCTGTTATAGAGATGTAGTGTTATATGCAGCAAGTGCTAATAGAAAATATGTGGATAATATTATAAAAGTTCTAGCTGATGTAGTTTTACGACCCAGAATTACAGAAGACGAGGTTAAAAAATATAATTTAGTTTTTTATTTGTATTGTAAAAACTATTTAGCTTTTTTTAAAGAACATAAATTATAAATCAATGTTCAAAATTCATATTCTGGCATTGTGTTTTTCTATGTACTGGGAATTTAAAATTTAAATAATTTAAATTTCAAACTTATTTATTTTATTTTCTTACATTATAAATTACAGGTAATGGCTGCAAGCAAAGCAATCTTATTTGAACATGATACATTAATGATAAGACCTGAACAAGATCAATTACTTGAAAATTTAGTGCATATGGTAGCTTTAAATATTTAAGTGTATTGTTTTTTGTTTTGCCTAAAGTTGTATCTTTATATAGGCTGCTTTTCAAAAAAATACATTGGGCTTATCAAAACTTTGCCCAATTGAAAATGTTTCACAAATTAATCGCCAGGTTCTACTTACTTATCTGAAAAACCATTATGTTCCTGAACGAATTGTTGTTGGAGGAGTTGGAGTGGATCATCAACAACTTGTTGATAGTGTTCAAAAGTACTTGAAATATTTTATATTACATAAATTGTGTATGATATATTTTATTTTACTAGATTATATAATTATTTTACTTAGGTACTTTGTTGATGAAAAACCAATTTGGAACAATGAAAAACTTGATACAATTAGTATTGATACTTCAATACCACAATACACTGGTGGAATAATCAAAGTATGTATTTATTATAATTTAAAATATTTATTAATTGTTTAATACTTCATAAATATTTGAATATTATAGGAAGATTGTGATATTCCAGCATTTCCTGGACCATCTGGATTAGCTGTCTTATCACACGTAATGATTGGTCTAGAATCTATACCTTTAGTGAGTAAAAATGATTTCGTTCCATCATGTGTATTAAATCTGATGATGGGAGGTGGTGGATCCTTTAGTGCAGGTGGACCGGGTAAAGGAATGTACACAAGATTATATAGAAATGTATTGAACCGGTATGCATATGATTATTTATATTACAAACATTTATAATAATATTGAAATAAATAATATATATGACTATATAAAAAATGCAATTATAATATTCATTTTTTATACTTGAATATTTAGGTATGGTTGGTTGTATAGTGCTACTGCTTATAACCATGCATATACTGATAGTGGATTATTCTGTATTCATGCTAGTGCTGAACCACAATATGTTCGTGATATGGTTAAAGTCATTGTGTTTGAAATGGCTAATATGGCTAATAATATTCAAAGAGAAGAACTTGCTGTATGTATTTATTTAATTTTATATATTCATGTTTAATGACATTATTTATTTTATAGAGAGCAAAGAAACAGTTACAGTCACTATTACTGATGAATTTAGAAGCACGTCCTATTGTGTTTGAAGACATGGTTAGGCAAATTTTATCATGTGGCTATAGAAAAAGACCAGAAGAACTTCTTCAAGAAATTGGTAAGTTTTATGTACAAAATATTTGGTTGAAAAAGTATTCAAAGGACTAAGTTTAATGTTATTTGACTTGGTCAAGTGTCTTGTTACTTGATAAATTTCTCTCTTGGATAAATGTTATGAAATATTTAAATCTAGGTTAATTGCTACTTGTCAGTTTTTAGAAATAGCAGATTATATTTACCTGTATGTGGAAAATTCTCATCCATAATTTATAATGATGTACTTGTAACTTTATTTAACTTTTTAAAATCAAATTTTTATAAGTAAATGTTTAAATTTATTTAAAAATTGTTAAAAGGATTTAAATAATACAAAACAATTAATACAGGTTATTTTCAAAATCAATATTATGTAACTAATTGATAAATAGTATATTAAAGTGTCTTTTTACCATAAAAAACATTCCATTTTGAATTTTTTCAAGTGTAATTTAAATGTCTTTTTCCTAAGTGAAAAATTACTAAACCTACTTCTTTTTTTTGTAGCAATTTACTGAATACGAAAGTATTTTATTTTTTAATCTAATTTTATACTTATTTATTTTTAGAAAATATTTGGCTTTTGATTAGGAAATTAAAAATTATAGGTTCTTATCAAAAAATTAAAAAACATAAAAAAAAAATGCTGATAAAGATAAAAATTTAAGAAAAATAATCATAAAAGTTGATAAATGAAATAAATGTGGATTGTACTGAAAATAATTTGTATAGTAAAGAGAAAAATCGAGAAATAAAAATTTAGTATAATATAATATAATCAATATATATTATGTTGATAAATGAAAAAATATTTAATTATTTCATAACTTAAATATGAATAAAGTTGAATAAATTTAGTGCTTGAACAATTTTATATAATAACTTATAAATTTTTTCATTTAATTTTTTTAGAAAGTGTAACAGAAGAAGATATAGTAAGAGTTGTCAAGAAAATTCTGGATACACCCCTAACGGTTGTTGCTCGTGGAAATATTTCAAAATTACCATTAATTGAAGAAATGCAAGAGTTAATTAATACGAAACCAAAAGGAAAGATATTTGGTCGGTTTTAATTTGTTTTAGTTTATTCCATTTTGCATTTTTGTTAACTTTAAAATAAATTTGTTCAAACAAAATATATTTTATGTATTATACCTAATTAATGATTTACTCTAATAAATATTATAGATATAAAAGATATAATTTTAGAAAATTATATTTTAATTATTTAAATATATTTAGATTTTAGTAAAATATGAATATTAATACTTATTAAGATATAACTTGATTACTTGGTTTAGGAATTACAAACCTTTTATTTTATATAATTCTATAAAACAATATTTTGTTATACCCCAGACTATGTAATAGAATTGAGTATATTATATAGTATTATATACTCAATGGTGATAGTCATTGATGTGACACCATTATTATTTTATTGATGCTATATTTCATTCTCAATGGGAATATTATAAAAATGTCTGGTAGGGGGTGGTTAGTCTACCTGGTGGTCTCTATTAACTCCCTTTTAGCTATGATCTTGTATGATACTTAGTGAATCGATAAACTTATAAAAACAAAAGCCTTATTTTAAATTATAAGAGCTTAAAATATTTAAATTAGTGTTTTCTAGTCCTGATATAATTTTGTTTTAGCCTTTTTAAGTTTTTTTTCATTATTATTAATATATGATGCCATATTTTTAAGTAAAAAAGTTTTAAAAATGACTACAAGGTTAGGTGTAGGATTGAATAATATTGAAAATATATAAAATAATAGTATAATAAATATTACATAGTGTATTATGCTATTTGTTTTTGAGAAAAATTAGTTCATTCTACTGTATTTATTATTTATAGAAGAAAAATAAATTACTAATAGTAATATAATTATATAAATATATAATAACATATAGACTGACAAACTATCTTCTTGGAATCATTTTTTTTTGTACTATTATTTATCATTGAATTTATACTTATAACATCCATTATAGTGACTTACTCAATGATGATTGATAAGGTACATTCAACATATATTACACAGCAGAGTGACTTCTTCAGTTTTTTTTTCTTTACAGTGGTGGCTAGAACTTTTTTTTTAAGACGAGAAAAATCCTGTTGAACATATATATTTTATTTGTACAGAATCGCTAGAGCCTTCAGTCATTCAAAATATTTGATGACCAAATTTATAATTAACCTTATGACAATTTTTTAATTCCTATAGCATTTTTAAAGTGGCATTTATTAAAGGACGGCGGTAGTGCAATTTTAAACTCAAAATATGAAATATTTCAAAGATTTTAAGTAAAAAAAAATATTGATAGAAATATTAATTTAATAAAGGAATACAATGAAGCGGCGTGCAGGATCGGTTAGGTTATGTCTTGTAAAATGTATTCTAACCTTATATAATAACTCGTTAGTTCGATCTATAATGAATATGGATCGGCGGTAGTGGGGTCCTCAGAAACAGATCAGGATAAATCACAAATCAAACGAGTATACTGTATTGGATCACTTTCTTGGTATGATTGTTCGATATATGAACATAAAACACGACCTGCACGATTGGTACCAACCCGTTTTATCCGCACTTCGAATATCAACATTAAATAGTCTTATATCCCTATAGGGATGATTCTGGTGTTAAGATTTAAACAAAATTATTTCCATTGATGTACCAATTACCAATACCGCTATCTAGAGTTCGAATATCGATGTGGGTACCAGAACTCGGAGATACCATGCAGTTCTTACCCATGGTAAGAATAAACTACCAATAGATTGATTCATATTACCAAATTATGTATACAAAATAAACATGCTGATACATTGAGTTATCGCCCATCGGGTTGACCAATTTTGGATATATTTTTGTTTGGAAGAATTTTTAAAATACATGTCATCAAGACATAAAGTACTAGGTAAAATATTTACTCGATAACATCAACTATACAAGTGCATTGAAAACAATTCACTTCAACACCTCTTGATGGTGTTTGATCGCGATCTTTAATTTATGTTCATCCTTGTTTGCCATTGCTTTTTTGACCTGTTCGTCGAGGATCTGCAAATGACTTTTCACAACGAACGTGGAACACATGTACCTACATGTACACTCAAGAAACAGATTTTAATGCGTGAAAAGCGTATAGAATATATTTGCATGCGTAAACAATCGTAGTTGTCGTTATTATCGGCAACACGTCCATGAAAGAGAATGCGAACGAATCGCCAATTTGCAATCCAGTGAAATCGTGTACAACACAGAAACTCGCCTCTTATTAAAAATGTAAAATAAAATAAATATTAAATATAATTTATTATTATGCATTTATAAGATCTGTAATAATATGCACTAACCAATAAATTTTTTACTTTACAGCTGCTTTTAAAAGAAAATATATTATAATTATTTTGACTTTGGAGGGTGAAGTGAGCATGATAATACTACTGTTTATTTATATTTTAATTTTGTACAGACATGCTTAAGTTCGGGATACGATTAACATAGAATAAAATATTCCTTTGGATTTCTTTGTTTGTGTTGCGTCCTAATATGTAAACCTATGAAAAAATAATAATTCGTTAAAAAAAATAAAAATAAATCGTAGACAGAGTATAATAACGCTGGTATACGTGATCACGTCATTATAACAACTATAACATAAACAATATACATAAATATATATCTGTGACTGTGACCGTGCGAAATTTAATACCTAACACTGTACCTGTACGTCTGTATAAATATAACACCACGATAATAATATATTTTATAAAATTATACTTGCAATGTCGTGGACGACCACGACTCCGGAAGGCCCTCGAGATAGTGTGCACACTAAATAAGCTCGCAGGATATAATACAGTAGATTATATATGTATCATTATTATGTTTATAAATGTTTATTATTTTATTATATACTCGAGCACGACGATGAGTGAACAACGCTGTGTCGTTGTCTGTAATTTGACGGATCGGTTCATTGCGTGCAGTGAAAACAGCCCGTTTATAATGCGATTTGATAATAACGACAAAAAAAGTTAGCCTCTATTTCCAAATCGTCGTTAGACAAACGTCAAACGGCCTTGTAATTAATACGCGATGTTATAATATTAGGTATAAATTAAGGTACCTAAACTATTATTTGTTTTACAGAGAAACCTCCAGCAGCACTACAGCCATTAATGTATTTATTTATTAGAGCCGGTATATAATGTCTTTATTGTTATTATCGTAATGTATAATCACAGAATATTTTAATGTATAGAATAATTTTTTAAATCACTACAAATATTTTAAAATTAATGTGTTAAAACTTGAAAGTTGAATCTCAATATAATTACGCAAAATCTTTACCTACTTCAATACATAAAAGTATTTTCCAACCGGATTTGAATTAATACACTCAAACAACATTCAGAAGAATTTTCAGAAATACTATTTAGATACTTCAAATTATTAACACTCTTCTAGTTAGTGCTGTGTCTATTATTTTCAACATTCGAGTAAAATTTTAACATAACCAGTGGTGTATTATTATGGTAATAATCCCGGAGCCACCAGGGTGTCTAAGTAAGGAGCCACAAGTTCTCTATCATTAAATGAAAAAAAAAAAATTATTTTTATTAAAACCATATTTATATTTAAAATAATAGTTTGATTAAAAATACGAAAAAAAATCTTTAGGGTTAGAATCTTTCTAACATAAATGCACCATTGTTTAATAATTTAATTTCAGTGTTTAAGGGAATCTTATTTCAATAGGCTCTATGGCCACTAAGTATCGTGCTATTTTATTGAAAATATGAATAACTTAACTTTAAGATGTTAATTACAATGTTCTATTATGTTAATTAATACGATATACCTACATGAATTTTATCTCCACTTTAAGTAATAGTTCTCATTATTTAAATTATAATCTTAAAATAAATATAATATATAATATAAATAGATAATAGCTTAAAATAAATCAAAAATGCCATTGAATAATTTTACCTACTTATGTATATTTTATAAGAATTGCGGTTAAAGTATAATTATTACATTAATAAAATCTATTTTAAGCTTGAAAAAAAAATATTCTAATCTTGTTAGAGATAAACACGTCCTCGGAGTTCGGGTGGTTGATTTGGAGTTTTACTCGCCGTGAGTAGAAAACCCGTGATAAATGAAACGACAATTTCAAACAACGCTTTAGTAACGCGTGATGAAAAGGAGGAAAAATAAAAACCGGTCGGAGATTGCAACGCTCAGAGATGTATTCCGAATTCAAATAACTCTACATGAATTTGTATTTTTGTGAACTTTTTAATTTGTTACCGGCATTTTGTTCATACATCATGAAAGCGTTTTATAAAAATAAATAAATATGAATCCAGAATCCCGACTGCTAACATGGCAGTACATTTAATTAAACTTCTTAATTTTAATTTTTTTATATAATTTTCAAACTTATTAAGGGGTCTACATTTAATTATAAATCATATTTATTGTAAAAAATTGTATTTGATGTTTTAAATATATAGTATTGTAGACTGTAGTATATTAGTTCAATGCTACATTATTGCGGGTCCCTGATTCTCAGGTCAATTTCAAATACAGCATAATGTGTACACCGCACTCCGATTTATTAAAAAAAATATATAATTATTATTTATTTAAAAAATATTGTGGATTAAGCATCAAAAATTATATTTTAATTAGCCTTAAAACAATTTGGAAAATTAATTGAATAGACTGAATAGTTTACTTACCAATAATCCAAAAGATATAGTCATTACGTAAACAAATAGACTAAATAAAATTACGACACTATAAAGTATAAATACATACAAAACTGTTGGTAGATTTCACACTCATGCGGCTTGTATTGTCTGTCGGCAAATAAATGCGTTCTGAATGTTCTGCTGATGTATAATGTATATTGTATAAACTATAGGTACATTATATTAAATGCATATTTATATTATCTTTCGTAATTGTAGTTCTCAAAATTTAAATATCATAACATGGTTTTTCCCTGACTATAAATAATTAATATAGTTAAAAATTAAAGGTAGTTAGTTTACTAAATTTAAAAAACGATTATTTCTGTCATTATTATATGTTAAGATATTCGTTATCAAATAATATGTTACCTGTAATTACTAATATTAACGATTAGGTTTTATTCAAAATAAAATTAATAACCAAGTAAGTAAGTAAGTAAGTAAAATAATTATGAAAACAATTTTAAATTTTGAAATATTGCTATGCAATAGTCCGAGCTGGTACAAATTTGTGTCCCGAGAAACTTTGTCTGTGACGCTGGGACATGGTCATATGGGTTCCCAGTAACGTCCCGGGAAATCCGGGACGAATAGATACTCTATGGTATGACAACCTATCATATCATAATTTATTTTTTCATATGTTAGGCATAAACAACATGAAAAGTTAAGTTGTATTAACTTAAACATTTTTGTTCAAATAAACTAAATAAATTATGGGTTATTTTAAATTAAATCCAAGTTAGGTAAAATTAATAATTAAAAAATAACACATAAAATAAAGTGATTTAAAATAATATTCACATTATTAATAAATTTATAATATTTTACCATTTAAGTATACCTACTCATATTTATTTTTAATTTTTATGTTTAGAAGAAATAACAAATTGCCAATGTTACAACAGTTGAGGTCATGCATTTTTTTATTTTGTAAAATAAAAATAATAAAATATGAACTTTTAAAGTTGTTAAAAGCTTACTGTTTTTTTTAAATGGACATCAAAATGTTAGGAAAAGTTTTGTTATTTATAGTTTAGGTAATCATTTCGAAAAATGTTTTTCAATATCTATATTGTGTAATTACATTAAGTTAGGCATGAAGAAACAGCGATCCCACTTTGCGAAATGGCTGTAAATGTTGTTCATTTCATGAATTGAATAATAACGTAATGTTGGTACTTATGTATGTGACATGTATAAACAATTACTTTAGCTTCTTCTAATTATCCATAGTGTGTTTAACAGTCGTTAAGATCATTGTTGTAGAATATAACATGATCAAAAACAATATATTTACTTTCAAAGCATGACTTTTACATTTTTTATATGTTAAATAAATATAAAGCCATAAAGCTTACAATGTATACCAATTATCGTATACATATTTCATAATATGGCAAATAATAAATATACAACTTATTTACCGGCCAGTGAAATACAACTCCCTAATATAATAAAAAGTATCACGCCAAATATTTACTATTTTTATTTAAACAAAACATAATATTAAAATAATAGAGTTATCCTTTTATATTTAATTATTAATTAAATGTTGAAATGATGTGTACACAACAATATGAACTCTCAATAAACAATGTTCAAAATGTATTCCGAGATATTATATAAACTCCATAAGTATTAGGTAAACCACACACTTGTCATTAGATAATTTTACATAATTTCTCTGCAGCAGAGCAAGTGTCAAAGTCGGTCAACGTTTACAAATTATCCGGATTCGTGATCATCCAACACGTAGTTTTAGTATGGACTTGAAGACAGATGAATCACATAACTGAATAATGCTCTCAAATTACGGTTATACACGTATAATATAAATGTATATAGTTGAAAATAAAAAAGAAAAAATAATTCACAGATGACCCGACTAAAGGGCATTTTACACAAACGTGACATGTCGTTACCATTGTAACTAAGCTGATATCTCGTTAAGTGCAACCGTCCAATTATCGAATACTAAATAAAAAGTTATGTAAGCAATGACCAATCAAGACATTCTGTAATACAATGAATCGTAAATCGTAATAGCTACATAAATGTCAACAACAAGACAATTAAATATCGTGGATAAGTGTTAAAATCAATATGAACTTCTGCAATCTTCATAAAAAAAAAAATGACCGATATTTTTTTAGTTTTGTACCTTATTTTATTTGTATGAAAGAGAAACTGCAATTTGGTTTGATATCAATAATGCAGTGGTCCATCGACTTGATGTTAATATAAAAATACAATCTAAGAAATATTTAGTATGTTTTAGATTATAAACGGAACGATGAATTTATTGACTATATTTTAATTGTGTTTGTTATTTTGTAACTGTTTATATGATAAGAAATCGAAAAATGAATTGATTTTTAACTCCGAGGGTGGTTTCTGATAGAAAATTGTTTGTACTTTAAAGAAGTAAAAATTATTTGTTTCCAGTATTTTCATAAAAATTAGTTTTATTTTTTAGGTCTTATAAGTTCTAGTTACTATGAAATTAGGAAAAACTTATACAGTGTAAATCCATATTAATTTTTATGCATAAGCGGTATTTAAGGGGCTTGAAGGGGCTTAGCCCTCGGTTTGAAAATTAGCTCCTCTCCAAATAGACAAAGCTCTCCACAAATCGGTACATGTCAACTCCTAGGAGGGCTACAGCCCACCCAAAAATTTGACCTCCATACGCCTATGTGTTTTTATATACGTTTGAATTTCAAAGCTTGACAAAATTATAGTCAAAACCGTGAATCATTGTTTTGTAGGCTATTTTAGACTATTGATTGATAAACGATATCGCATTCAATAATTTAACACGTTTATATAAAACTTAAGAGTCACTTTGTATAAGTTTACGCTACTCAATCAAGAGGGTACAATGGACAGTCGACACTTACTATAATAAGTATACAGAAAAGCGACTTTTCAAGGATTTTTCATTTCAAAAATATATTTGTTTCAACTAATCGAATAAACATATTTTGAGTGCATATTTCTTGTATTTTGAGCACGCGAGCCCGTACACGTTTTCGTTCCACCCAGGACGCGCTCAAATCGTCAGAGGAAAAAGACGCGTTTTATGGACCGTTGGTCGCGCACGGAGCAGTCAGCGTTTCGAAACCGGCCGCGGCGATTCCATTACGACGCACGTCTGCCGCAGCATCGGACGCAACCGCGCTACGGCCCGATCGGCATGCGCGCACTGTCCGCCCCGGAGATACTCGGTGGCCGGCAACCGAGCCAGCAGCGTTCTGTGTGTCGGGGACTGCGGCCCTCCGTCCGAACGACGACCGGACGTCCGGGGGCCACGACGTCGCGCGTCTGTCACGACGCCGGTCGATTGCACGTAATCGAAAAGCGACGGCGTTTCCTGCGCACCACGGCCACGCGTGGCCGACTGCCGCCCGCTGGCCCCATAATAATTGGTGGCCAGGTGCATGTAGTATCGGCCGTACACGCGGTGCGCAGACCGCTGGCCATTGATCCCGCTGTGGTACTCGGTGTCCGGAGACAAGCCGTACAGGTGTCTCACGTTTTTTGCGATATACTAATAGATACAAAATGTATTATTATTATTATAATAATAATACGAACACGCGTTTAGCACTGCAGAGGATTTTCAGTTATTTCATGTTTGTCCATCGGCGTTTAACGCGAGTGATCCGTACATGAAAATAATATTATGTTACGTGCTATTTGTTACAAGGATGAAAGCTCGCTTAAAATAGTATTTTGCATAATCACGTGTTCGCAATATTTATTCGTTATACTAAATGTAAAATATACGTTTGGGTAGATATTAGAGAGATTGCGTTATTTGTTTATTTTTTTTCGATCAAGTAAAGTTATATGCGTCGAACGAGTTTCGGCAATTAAAATATAATAATTTCATCGCGACTGAGGGATATTTACGCGGCAAAGTTCGTAGATATAACTAACCTAACTTATCCTTGTCGTGTCCGGGCCGACAAAAACAATACCACGATAATACAGCACCACTGTTTATATTATATCGCGTTTAATGAGCTATTGGTTTTGTCGAATTAAAAGGAAGCTTACTTCTGCATGAGTGTGTCCAGGAGGGGAGGGGCGTTCAACTAATATCTGATAATATGACGACAAATTATTCAAAATGTATTTTAATGTAGCATAAATTATCATTGTTATATTATTTTTTTTTTTTAATATTAGGTACTATTGAATGATATGACACGATCTGACCTATATATATATATATATTGTATATATACCAAATTAATATCTAGTAAAATAAATACACTTTAAATGCGTTTTTTAAGTTTTTTTTTAAATTAAGTTTTTTATATATCATTTTTTATTTCATATACTTATATTTATGACATTTTATCATATATTTTATTTTTATTTCAAATAATGAACATTGAACACATGTTCTTAGAGCATATTTTAAGTTAGTATTTCTGTGTAAATCGTAAGTACCTGGCACCTAATTATATATTTTGTGATTTTAAGTAGATAGTTACTTATTAGAAGTTTTCAATCCTATAGTTATTAAAAATGTAGATAGTGATTGTATTTTAAAATTAAAGTAATTAAGCACGCGTTATTCGTTATACGGAAATTAATAAAATATTTTAATTTAACGTTATTTAGTACGTAATTCATTATTAATTTAAAAATCAAAATTAAAAAGTACTTATAGTGTAGATAGGTAGTGTGTTAAATTGTATATTAAGTTATAATTTTTTAATTTAATAAGTAGTTGGTATTTTGATAGTTAATAAAAATTATTCACTATAAGTACGTTGCTGTGTTATTCAATTTTAATTTGATTTTTTATTATCATGTAATACCCTTTTACATTTTATAAATTATTAGTTATTAAGAAAGATTAAAATAATGATAATAATATAATATTATAATCTAGTTTATTAACATAAAATACGCATTAATCAGTTAATGTATATTATAATATCAGATATTAATAAATTAATAATATGATAATATTTAATAATACTATACTTAAGAACCTACACATAAAACATAATATCTAACAGGCCCATGGAAGTTGTAGGTAATGCAGTGAATTGCAATTTACCAAATTTAAAAAAATAATACTATTTTAATATTTAATAAATATCAGTCACAAATCACAACTCATGATTTCATATTATATTATAATAAATAATAAATGTAGTACTCATAATACACATTTTACGTAATTTTCATTTTAAGATTTTATAGTATTATTTTTTCATTCAATTTTCTATATAATATTAATTTAGAAGTTTGGAAGTTCTTTGTTGATGAATATGAACGCTTTTTCTTAATCAGCCCCGCTAAAAATACATTTAAGTTATGTTATGTTCATTACGTTATTAATTAAAATAAAACGAATTATTCGACTAACATACCAAAGTACAAAAGTATCTCACATCCCCAAACCAAAATAGTGGTAATACAATAATAATAAACATAAAAATTATACATAAAATTATTTACTTACAGTATTTAGCAAAAACACTGGTTAAATCATAAAAAAATATTTATTGTTCCATGAATATCCATAAAAATTTGCATAAGAAAAGCTGATGTCCCTAGTAGTAAAAGCTTAAGATTAATTAATAATACAATAATTATTTAGGTACATCTTATACAGACATAAAACTTTGACCTACCAAAGTATTTGATGTTTTGGCGGAACCAACGTTAAAATTACTTAGCATAGGGTTAGCTTAAAAAGTACATAATATCTATACCACATTCTGTGCCTATACTACTTAATTATTAACAGTCGCAAAGTTATCGTCTTATCGATAATAATTAAGAGTAAGATATTATTTAGAAAAATAGCACTAATCAGTTTTAAAAGCAGTGTAGCAAATATTCAATTTGACCTTTGACCAATGTAAAACCTGAACACTAGAACTATACCATTGGTATAGAGGTATTGCAGTATCCGAGTAGCAATCTGCAGTAGCTGCTACCTACTTTAGAACCACTGTTGCTGTTATTTCATGCCTTAATTAGTCGATAGGTAATTAATTATTATAAATACACGTAATGAAGCGTTCATAAAAAAGTATTTATATATTTATATTTAACAAAAATTACTTTTAAAAAGTAATTCTCTTACCGAAATTTATAATGAATGGTATTATATAATTATTTAACACAGTAGGTACATAATTATTTGTGAAATATGATAATATTTTAAATTCATGTTTCAAAGCATTAATTACGTGGATAAACTTCATGTGTACTGGACAAATTAAGGGATATAATAATATTGGGAGGAATACATTTGGTTGAATTTCCCCAACATATAACACTTTAGAGCATAACACTGGATGTTATAATATTGTTTATTATGGATGAGCATAATATTTCCTTATATATAAGACACATATATATATATATATTTTCCTACATATTATAGTGGTTTGTCATAAAATAACTATTTAGTGTAATTCTTGTTTTTTTTTGTTATTTTCTTTTACGAGGCTGTATATTTTTAAATTTTTACGTTTTATGTCCAATTGTGTCTTTCATTGTCCTTCCCAATGCATTTTTATACATACACCCAAACGTGTTCACAATTTATTTGCAAGTACATTTTTGATAATATTTCCAAAAGTGTTTTACACCCAATGATATAATACGAGTATATCATTTAAAATTGTATTTACAATATATCTCGTATTTATGTAAATTTAATTGTCACAACTGCTATCAACCCCGTTTACGTCATGAAGTTATTACTAGTCTACGAATAGAATATTATGTACCTATCTTACAATAAGAATGAAGATACGCATTGTTACTAAAGCATTGTAATCGTACCTATACAATGGCTACGGAAATAAAAATTAAACATTAGAAAGACATGTATTTTGATGTAGTCGTCTCGTATTATTTTTACTTAGAATATTATATATCTTGTATTTTAATCTTCACATAAATAACCAAAGTGTGTTACGTTACGTATATTATGAATCATAGTGAGCGTATTGTTGGTCAATTATTAATCTTACTATGTAACATTACATATGACGCATTTTATTATTGGTAATTCGATTGTTTATAAGAAACGGATGAATCTTATAAATTTAAATGATTAATTTATATATTATTACATACTCAACGTACTGTTCATTTTTGATTCAAACATAAATAATACTATAGTCTAGAGAATCTCACAATATAAACTAACTATTGTGTAGCCTGTCTCTAATAGGCCATGAATTAAAACAATAGAGAATATATCAACATAGTAAAATTATCTAATAATGAGTATTTATAAAATTTATAACTTTTTTTTAGAGAATTTTTAATCATGAATAATGAATATATTAAATTTTTAATTTATTGGCAATATAAATTAGCAAATATTTTTTTACTCTTGATTCATGCCTATTAATATAATAAATAAATACTACTTACACCTAAAAATACTAAAATATGATCAATTTTAACCATGAATGGTTTAATAAATACTAATTTTTAAATATTATAGTACCTATTATTTAAAGCATTATTAAAAAAGTTAGAACTTAACATTTTGTAATTTTTAGAATAATTCAATAGAGAAGGTAAGATAATTACAAATAGTAATTACGATTTACGAGTAAGAGTATATGAAAGGTATCAGTCATGTATAAATATATAATAAGTACCTACCTATATAATTATTTACTAGTAATTAACTGCTATCGATATTAAACGTGGCTTAAATAAAGTTAAATCGATAATTACTATGTTTTAGTCCATCCACCGTAATAATACACTATAAAAAATAGTACAGTAGTATCTATGTATATTATTATATTAATTAGTTGCTATATGGATAAATCATTTTTGAAATGTACGTAAAATTTTATGATCTTCTAAGAAGAAATTAATAAAATATATTATAAAATATTAAATATTTGTAAGTACTGATAAAGCAAAAGGTTTCATCCTGAGCTATAAAATAAAGGTAGTATAGTTGTATAGACCAAGTAGTTAGGTAATAAAAGTGATGTCTTTTGTGGGATTAAAATAAATTTTATAAATATTGACCTATATTTTTATTATAATTTACATCTACCTATATATAAATGTTTATGAAATATAACAATACAATTTTCTTGTTAATTATAATAACTTTACCTTGATATGATCAAAGTCTGTAATATGCATAGAAGGTAGCGTTTGACAGTTAATGAAAATTAATTTCTTACCATCAATATTGTTCTCCTTGAAAATTATCTGTAATTCAATCACAATGATATACTCGTAAATGAATGCATTGCATCTTAATGAATTCTGATTTGATTTTAAATTTACATAAGTATTATGGATGTTCATAAAATTTGTAAATTCATATAATAAAAATAATAATAAAGATAAAGACAATAGCCAAAGACATAAAGTGGATGCATATTACGTAACATATTAGTGATTAATAAATAATAAAGATGTATTAGCTAATAAGACTTCAATAGCAAACAGTATCCTCCTACACAATAACACGTACACAAAAATATAAGAAAATTTTTTTCATTCTACAATCAATAATGATAAGTGATAATTATTAATAATGAACTTTTGCATTACTTAGAATTTGAAAATTATGTGAATACTGTCGCAACTATAAAATTTTTGATAATTAAAACATGTTAATGAATATAGCCATGTACTCATATATTTTTCTTATCTAATAAAGTAAAATTTGATTAGGGCCGTTGGATTTTTTTTTTTAATTTGTTTATATGTTAAAAATAATTATTCGAAGCAAATAAATCGTTGAAAAATAATCGATTATTAGATTTCATTTTGTTGGGAAGATCTTTCGAAAGCTAATTTATAAGTTCCAATCAACTAAGAATGTCAACAATCCGATATTGCATCTCTAGTGTCTAAATGCGTTTAATGCTATACATTGATAAAACATGTGTCATATTCATGTATACATTTTTTTAAATTATTTTTATTTAAGCTAAGAATTTTAATTTACTTAATGCGTTGTCGCAATTACTCACTACGTATTGAGGCAATTTTAACCCATACTGTACCCAATTTATGACATTTGATACTGACCACGACCAACTAATCGGTTCTTTTAGTTTGTTTACGGCGTTTCCAGCTATTTCAAATAATGAATCAGGAAAATAAATACTCCTGTAATATAACTATTATATAAGATTTGTTCAATTATAGTTTATAATCGATTTTTGTTTCAGATGTTTTATTGTCCAGTAGATATTATATATACCTAATTATTCTTTATGGGATGTAATTAAGATAAATATCACACAGCAATACAATTATAAATTAAAATACAAATCTAGTGGTTTGCAAGAATTAAAAATGTAATTGTTCATAGTATTATATAAGTATAATATAACTTATACAGTTTATACCTACAATTCTTCACACAGTTATAATTGCCATGATGTAAAATTACATTCTCTAGTTAAACATTTCATTTATTATGAATAGACAATAGCAATATATTATTTTAAACTAAGCGAGTATTGATATTTCTAATTTCTAAAAATTAAAATAGTTTAAAGTATTAAAGTTTTGAAAAAAATATATTTTGCATAGTTACCAGGTAAAAAATAATAGTAATTATAATATAGTTTAATTAAAATTTAACTTTAGTATGTGCATAGGGACGAAGAGCATTCATTTAGACATATGCATAAACATAAAATGATATTTTTTCTATTTATTTTAATTAAAAAACAATTAACTTAAACTTTTATAAAACAGATAAGGAAATAATTTTTAAAATTTCACCAACTCTATAAATGTCTTAGGGATACGTATTGATCAGTTTAAGTTGAAAATAAATTTACAAAATAAATTAGTAACTTATTAAGTAAATAATTTTTCATTTCAAATTTAGTGGACGTCCTAAGTGATATATTATGGAATAAAAATTACTTTATAGTTTATAAGTATTAGACTAATTTAAACAATTTAAAATTAAAAATAAATCATTTATCAAAATACTTTAAGTTTTATGATTTGGAATAAACTAATTTAAAACACTTACATTATATTATTGTAGTTTAAATAATATCAGGAATTAATTTTTGTTTTTAAATTAAATAATACCATGTATAAATATAAATATTAATAGTTAAATAAATAATCATTTAAAAATTATATTGATATTTTATTATTTTTACCATGGTAATGTAGTTTTAATAAAAAAATCATATCTCACAGTTTAACATCTGTTTAAGTTGCTAAACTAAGTTGCACATGTAAAATTATTAAACTTGTAGAAAATAGTATGACAATAAACAAGTAGGTTTATATGAGAAAACATTAAGTAACAACAATTTGAAGGTAGTATACTGCTGAAAATATTAGTGGTTAAATTTTAGCAGATGTGTGTAATTGTGTGACTAAAAACATCATGTGGAATCAGGATTCATTTAAATCGACTTGGTATTTAACAATCAATGTAAATGTTTTATAAAAAAAAAAAAAATATATTAAAATAATGTATTATGAGATACTTTTGGAACTTAAAAAATTTGACATTATTGTATTAAAGGCTATAGGTTAACTGTTTGGTATATTCCTAATATTGTTGAGTAATAAATCAGTGAATATATAGGTAGCTCGAATGTGTAAAGGTCACTATTACAAATGATCTACTCAATATTTAGGAAGTAATCGAAATTAGAGTGTCTTACACGATTTATTAGATTGTCAGTAGTTAAAATTGGTGACGTTTTCGAAAAGGATTTTATTAAAATTGTACACAATAAGAACAAAAAACTGTGTTAAAACAAGAAAATAATATATTTTTCCATTAAGTTGAAGATCAGTTTGAACAATGTTCAACATGAACGTAGACGACAGTATATTATAAATTCGTAAAGTATAGCTATATTATATAATACATACAGGTATAAAAATCGATTTTTCAAGTCGTAAATAACACTTTGGTGGTGAAAATTCTTAGATATTTACTATTTATGCTGAATTCTAAAATTTAAAAATCGTATTTATTTGTCAAACAGGATTTATCACATAGAAAATATCTCAGTATTGTAATTTAAAAAAAGATACGTGACACGTGCTTGTGTCACATTTAACCTGTGAAGAGATCTGATGACATTTTAAGTCAATATCAGCTCATTCGAAACAGTTGTATATAATACATAAAATAACAATTTTATTGTTCAACCAAAGGTAATAATTGTAAGTAAAACAATTCAACAGTATCGTTACTACAATAACGATTTATCAAGTTGAAAATTTTCAATAATGATTTGGAAAGTTTGGAAATTGGAAATTTGCTAGTGTGTGATTCAACTTAGAAAACTAATTGTTGATACATTAAACAACAATAGATATTTGGTTCATAGCAGTCATAACAGCATTTTCAAGGTTTATCTGAAAGTAATTTAATAGCTTATTCGTGTCAAGTAATGTTTTTATTTTATGTCGATTAATATTTTATATACTATTTATTATTATCTGCGGCTGTTTCTATACTATTAATTATATTTTTTATGCCCAACACTGAAATAGAGAGAATTGCATATGCTAAAAATTCATAGGCATTCTAAATTTCGCCGTTATAATCTCATAAGCACTAAAACAATCGCAGTACACCAACTACTACCTACATATGCATACGATTTACTTCATTCTTGAAGGTTCGAGAGTATAATATAAACATGATTTGTGTTGAATATTTTAACTTAAAATTATACAAAATAAGCATAATTTTTTTGTTCTAAAGCAATATTGGACTTTCACTAAGAATAAAATATCTCAACAACTCGGAAAAAATAGTAAAAGTGTTAATATCCTAAACGCGACTGAATATCAGCTTGCGCGTGATCAATAGGCTTGGAAAATAAGAAACAATATAATACCTACCTATATATATATATTTATTTACCTACAACATAACACCACAAACACGAACATCAATAAACAATTGCTTTCGAAACTTGCAAAAACGCTTTGCACCTTGCCCAATAATCAACACAGTATAATAACGATGAGATCGGTTGGTCTCAGAGTAATTTTCATTTTATTTATTCATCTACTTATTTTTTTTTTTACGAAGAATTGACCGGCAATATCCCGGCCGTTGTAGTAGTTGGTGCAGGTGTATAATATGTTCACAAACAATCCAGTTGATATGTGCCAGAGTTGCCCAACCACGGAGATCTAAAGTCGTTTTACACCACACTATTTGCGTAGGTATCATCACTAGACCGTGAATATTCGCGCAATATCCCATCGGCTTGCTTATTGCTTCGCGCTATGTTATTTTTTTCTCACCACCGCCTCCTATTGTGGTATATTGTATGCCTACTGCGATAATAATATAATAATAACATATCAGTTGTATTTAGACGAATTCACCATTTTCGTAACACTGAACGAGAAATAATTTAATACTGTAATTCATGTTATTGCTGTTGCCATGTACTGTATAGGTAATTAATATATTGTAGGTATAATGAGTAAAATACAATCGCCTTATTTGATAATCAATAAAATTTTATGAATAAAAATTTTTTTTGTTTTTTTTTTTGTTTTAGTTTGATCTGATTTAAATTTTATTCTTCTATCTGTCACACAACCACAGTGTCGTTAATCAGAAAATTTACCTATAATGTGATATGAATTATAGTTGATAAGTAAGTCCAAAATCAATACGGACAGTATCAATGATAGCATAGAAAATAAACAACAACCAAAAATATTATAACTAAATGTTCAGTATTTAATTTATAATGATACTTATATTTTTTCTTATAATTCTAAAGTGGTTGATATTATTTGTTTAAATTATGATATACAATTAGTTTGGTCTGACATTAATTTTCTACCTCATGAGACTATAATGTAGTAATACGAAAAAAAATAATGATAATAATAATAATAATGTAGTTTACTAAGTTAATAATAATATACGATCCTTGGTTTTCATATTTATATGACAATTTTACTAATTTAAAAAAATTATTGTTTTATATTATAATATATTATGTATTATATCAATAATCATGTTTTTCCTAAATTTTGATCGTGGGCACGCATCTGCACAGTTGTTGGAGTATGATATGTACGATTACGAGGACAATATTATGCGTCACATCGTATTAATACATATTAATATGGTTTTATATATATATATTAATTTTTAATACAAACCACATATAGTTTCTTCATATTTTTCTTATCTATATCTAAACAAGTATTATACCAAATTTCCAAAAAATGTAGGTACATGCAGTAAATTAGGAAAAAATTAGAAGAGAGATCAAAAGTGTAAAAAAAATGAACTTATCAGAATATTTAAATGTAATTTTTGACTAGAGTATAATTAAAAGGGATACGCATAAATATTTTATTTTTTTTAAAAGAGAGATTTCACCCTTTTTCATGTAACCCCTCAATTCAAGAACTGGGTACGTGGGAACGAAAATTCCATTTTTGGATCAAAGAGTTCCAGATCCGGGTCAGGGATTACTAGATTTGCGTGACGACATGCGACTTTAACACCAAGATGATGTTATGTTTATTTTATTAACTGCAATTTATAAATTTCGTAGGAGATTGATTTATTGGTGTTGTAAATAGTTCTAAAAAACCACAAATTAGTGTTGCAGGTTTTCAGTTTTAAATTATGTTTTTACATTACTTTTACTTGGTTATATATAATAATTATACATTGAAAAGCTGATGTGTGTGAATATTTTGTTTCTTTCAAAAATCGGTTTAATAAAATATGGTTGTCGATAGTCATATTTTTTTAAGAAAAAAAATAATAAAAAAGCGTGGAATTTTCACTTTTAAATATATACTACTTAACATTAAAGTTTTCAATGTTATTGAAATTAATTTTATGTAAAAATAAGCTGAATTGAGACTTGACTGTACGAATTATTGTTTTAGTAGATTAAATATTATTTATTATAGTATGTAGTATAATATTTAAATATTAAATATCATATAAATAATATGTATAGGTATTTAATATGGTATAGAGATATTTTATGATTTTTTTTTTTAAGTCAAACATACGAGTATTAATTGTGTAGTGCAGACCACTTAAAAACCATATGGTAAGTCATATCAATATATAAACACATATTATATTGTATATTCATTATATATAAGT